CAGGAATGATTGCCTGGCACAATGTGCAAGGGCTGCGTGGCTGAATTAAGAGGTTCTTTATCTGATGGCCAGGTTAAAGACTTGCTTCTAACCTTGGGGTTTTTTCCATTTCCAGTGCATCCACCGAGATGTAAAGCCAGAAAACATCTTGATAACAAAGCACTCAGTCATCAAACTTTGTGACTTTGGATTTGCTCGCATACTGAGTGAGTGCCACTTGCTACTTACACAGGTTGTTAACACCTGAAAGCTCAAAGGAAGTGTAGGATCAGGCTTTCAAACACCAGGAAAGATTTGCTTGTCTTTGTCTGATACGTATGTAAATCATCCTATATAAAGGCTGGCATGTTTTCACAGAGGGCTCTGCTAAAGGCTGGGTAGAGATCCCCAAACCAGCTTAAAGGGAGCTAGCCCAGGCACTGTGATGCCAAGTGCCTCTGTAAACAAACTGCCTGAGCTCCCTGCTGGTGCAGCTGAACTGCTGGTGGTGCTGGCACTGGTAGGTGGAAGTTGGCCTTGGGCATCTCGGAGCTGCCCAGCCATTGCTTATGCAATGCTGGAGACACAGCTGGAGATCCCTGGCAGGAGGAGCCCCTCTGGCAGAAGGCGCTGTCTCTGCAAACAATGGTCTCACATTTTCCATTGTAAATAAACCCCCTAATCTGGGGTTTTTTTAGCTCTTGTTTGGACAAATCACGTGGGCTTTGAGAACTGACCACTGGCTGATGCAGGGCCCTGCTGTGGAGCTCTGCATATTTTCATTTGGAGAAAAATAGAGTCTTGATTTTTGCCATATCTGAAGTGTTTCCAAAGTTGGGTTCTGTTAGTGGCTAGTGACTCATTCTGTTCCTGTAGCTATTGCCTGCCCAGGAGGTGCCCCAACATGTGTAACAACTTAGAGCTGCTCATCTTCATTGTTCTGATCCCACATTCCTGTTTGTTTCTCTCCTTCCTGATCCCAATCTAGCTGGTCCGAGTGATTATTACACAGACTATGTGGCTACCAGGTGGTACCGCTCTCCGGAGTTACTTGTGGGAGACACCCAGTACGGGCCTCCCGTGGACGTGTGGGCAATAGGCTGTGTCTTCGCTGAGCTGCTGTCTGGGGTACCCCTGTGGCCTGGCAAGTCTGACGCTGACCAGCTGTACCTCATCCGGAGAACCCTGGGTAAGTGTCCTGGTCAGAGCCCTCATCTTCCCGATGCCTTTGGCACAACTAGAGCTTGCCTGGAGGACTGTCCTCTGTGGTGGAAATCGGGATTAGCCAGGAGGTGAATTTACCCAGTGGATCTCTCCCTTTAGTAGGAGCTGGCTTATTCGAGGTGCTACTGTCCTTTAAAGGGAGTTGGGTTTTACTGGCATGACTTACATGTGTACATCTTGTTAGGAGATTGTGTAGTTGGAGTAACAGATGCTCCTGCAGGTCCAGGGGAAAACAAAGTTGGCATCTACACAGGTGGTGACTGTTCTTCAGAAGAAGATCTGTGGCTTCAGCTTGTGTGAGCCAGCAGGGCCGGGCTGTGGCTAAAATGGACAGAGCTATGTAAGCAGGATCACTACCTGCAAACTGCCCGAGACCATCCTTCCACTCTCTGCAGCAGTGGTGGCCTCTGGGAAGCTGGCTCTGGAGCTTGGCAGTTTAAGAAAGATGTGGAATGTGTTGGGTGACCCTCATATGCCCCTGCTGGTCTTTTGGGGTGGTGCAGGGTGTCAGGAGCACAGGGTCGGCCCCGCGCAGAAGGCACAGGAACAACCATCTCTGCTGCTGTCCTGCCCATCTTCAGCTGTCGCCACACAGACAGAAAGATGAGGTGCCTGTATCAGAAAGGACCAGGGATGTTTTGCGTAAAGGATTGAAAGATCCAGGTATTTTTCAGGATTTGGTACTAAGCAAAGTGGTCCCTGCCTCTAGATAACAAATAATTGGATTTAGTTCATCACAGCTTTGGAGGCCTCATAAACATTGCCAGTGCCTGGCTGTGTGCTTGGCAGAGTGTGAACACTGCAATTTTTTGTTCCCCTTGTTCATCTTTATTCACCTAGGAATTTTAGGAGCTGCTCCTTATTTGGAACAGGGGTTAAATAAAAGAGCCATTATCTGTATAACACTTAAATCAGTCTTGTATCATTGATTCAGTTTTATCTTGGTGTGTAAATCTGATTTCTCAGCTGGAAAGGAACATTCTCCACTTTTAATTGAAATTTGATGAAATTAACTGAAAATTGTAATTTCTGCTGAGCAGTTTATAAAACAATAAAGGTGACTAATGGCTTTAAACAGAAAAGCTCCTTAGCTGGGAAAACAGTTGAACGTCGATTGCTCCATCCTCCAGAATACATTTGTGCCAGTGTTAAGTAAGTTATCATTTACTTTTAATGATAGGGTTTCAGCCAGAAGAAACTCCCTTTTGATCCAGGTGATGGACTGAGGCAGCATTTACAGAAAAAAGCTCCTTGGCCAAAGCTGTGTAATTGTGGTAGTTGGCTGTTGTACAGCTCTTTTGTTACAGGTTTGATTTTAACATTTAGCTTGCTCCGAGCTGCTCTAAGCTTCAAGAAAGGGGCATGAAGCTGTGTTGGGAAAAAGCTACAGCTTGTTCCTGTTGGTGCTGCATTTAAGCTCTTTTCTACACAACATCCTCAGGAGCGTACAAAAATAATTTCACCCAGTGTGAGTTAAATTTTAATGAAGCTAGAACACTTGTGGTTAGCCTGTCCCCTTCCAGCAGTCAGAGAAGCCACAACTGTTTATGCAGACAGGCTGCCTCTTGGGAACCCTTCGCCTTTGAAAATGCTGAAACACAGCATTGGCATGGAGAGCAGGCCAGCAGAGCTCGCCTCACCCTCCCTCCGAGAGAGCACATCAACAATGCTGCTCACGCTGCCAGGCGGCCACCTCCAAAACAAACAGTGGCTCCTGCCAGTTGCTCATCAGAGCCCAGGGCTGGTCCGTCCTGTCTGATGTGAGCAGGGGAGGTGGCTGCTGGTCTGATCCTGCTTAATACTTTGGGAAGGATCCCTGGTTGAAGCTAGGTGATGTACCATGGCTGGAGTTTCAGATCCTGGTAGGTGTTTGCACAGCACCCTCTAGCTATGATGCTGAAACATGTTCTCCTGCTTGCCGATACAGCTAGAGTTCAGTCTGCACACAGTGGAGATACAGGGGCTGGCACAGAGCAGATGTGTTTTTTCAACTTAGTGCCTTGTCCAGCTCATTCCCTGGTGTTCTACCAAGGGGTCTTCTTGCAAATTCAAATTTGCAGTTACCCAGATAATGCAGTGATAGGATCAGATCAGGTGTTTGGCATGGGGAGATACATAGAAATATGCATTTTTTTAGGCCCCCAGCTACAGTGGCTGCAGTACATAAAAGCCTCTCTGCCACACAGCACAGGGCCTGGAATCCCAGACTGGTTTGGGTTGGAAGGGACCTTAAAGTTTATCTAGTTCCAACCCCCTGTCATGGGCAGGGACACCTTCCACTAGACCAGGTTGT